ACACTTCTCCAAAGAAGACATGCAGATGGCAAATAGACATTTGAAAAAATGCTCAACTTCGCTAATCACCAGAGAAATGCAATTCTAAACCGCAATGAGATATCACCTCACACCTGTCAAAATGGCCATCATCAATAAATGAACAAGCAAATGTTGGCGATGGCGAGGAGGTAGAGGAAAAGGAACCCTCGTGTACTATTGTTGGGAATGCAGATCGGTGCAGCCACTCAAATAATTATGGAGTATGGAGTTTCCTCAAATAATTAAAAATGAAACTGCCTTATAATCCAGCATTTCCACTTCTGGGAATAAATGAGAAGAAACTAGAAACACTAATTCAGAAAAATATATGCATCCCTATGTTCATTGCAGTGTTATTTACAATAGCTCAGATATGGAAGCAACCCAAGGGTCCATCAGTAGATGAGTGGATAAAAAAGCTGTGGCACATTTATATAATGGAATACTACTCAACTATAAAAAAGAAGGAAACTCTTACCCTTTGCAACAGCATGGATGAACCTGGAAAGTATTATGATAAGTCAAATAAGCCAGTTAGAGAAAGATAAGTACCTTATGATTTCACTCATATGTGGAATCTAATGTACAAAATAAACTAACAAACAAAACAGAAACAGACTCATAGATAGAGAATCAACTGACGGCTGTTAGAGGGCATAGGGTTGTAGGTCTGGGTGAAAAAGGCAAAGGAATTAAGAAAAAAACCTCAGACAGAACAACAGAGTGGTGATTTCTAGAGGGAAAAGTGGATTAGGGGAGGTAAAAGACGGTATGGGGGGATAAATGGTGATGGAAGGAGACTTAACTTGGTATGGTGAACACACAATACAATATAGATGATATTTTATAGAATTGTATACCTGAAACCTATATACTTTTATTAACCAATGTCACACCGATAAATTCAATTAAAAAATAAAATAATTTTTTTAAAAAGCCATAAGAACTCCTTGAATTTGACCTCAAACAAAATATACTTTAGCACAAAATGCTACTAGAAACAGAAAGTCATTTCATAATGATAAAAACTCCTATTTATCAGGAAAATAAAGCAATTATAAATGTATATACATCTATTAATCAAGCCTTAAAGTACATGAAGTAAAATTTAACAGAATTGAAAGCATTAACAGAAAATGCCACAATTATAGCTGCAGAATTCAATACCCTGCCTTCAAAACAACTAGACTGAAAATCAAGGACACTGAGGCCTTGAACAACACTATCAACCAACTTGACCTGACATTTCACCTGATGACTACAAGAATATATATACTCTTCATGACTCTTCAAATACATGTAAATAAAATTTGGTAAATCTAAAAGGGTTGAAATTATGTGAGGCATATTCTCCAAGCATGGTAGAATTAAGTTAGCAATTAACAACAGATAGAAATTGGGATACCCTCAATATAGGCATACATTGGAGATACTGCAAATTAAGTTTCAAAACACCACAATAAAGTGAGTCTCGTGAATTTTGGGGTTTTCCAGTACATATAAGAGTGATGCTTATGCTATCCAATTGGTCTATTGGTAATAGACAAATGCTTAATTGGTCTATTAAGTGCACAATAGCATTATGCCTAAATATTTATATACCTTAATTTTTAAATACTTTATTGCTAAAAATAAGCCCCTATTATCTGAGCCTGTAGGAAAAATGGTACTGATACTCTTGCTGAACATATGGTTGCCACAGCCTTTAATTTGTAAAACAAAAACAAAAACAAAAAACAAACCAGTATCTGTGAAATGCAACAAAGCAAAGCACAATAAAATGAAGTACACCTGTATCTGGAAACTAAATGATACTCTTTTAAAATATTGATGGTCTGAAGAAAGACTCTATAAGGAAAATTAGAAAATATTTTGAATTGAATGAAAACAGAAAAGCAAAATATCAAAATTTATAGGACATTGCTAAAGTGGAGCTTAGAGAAAAATTAATAGCTTTAAATGCTAATGGAAACAAAATTCAAGCTCACAGACACACAAGAAACAACAGATTGGTGTTTGTAAGCTTAAGGAGTCAGCAAAATGGGTGAAGGGAGTCAAAAGGTACAAACTTCCACTTATAAAATAAATAAGTCATGGGGACGTAATGTACAGCATGCTGGATTATAGTTAATAATAGTTGCTAAGAGAGTAGATTTTAAAAGTTCTCATGACAAGAAAAAGAAATTGTAACTGTGTGATAATAGATGTTACCTAGACTTATTATTTTGCAATATATACAAATATTGAATCATGTTGTGCATTTAAAACGAATATATCTCAATTATACCTCAATTTAAAAAAGAAAAAATGCCTACAGAATAAAGGTCTCAAATCAACAACATAAGTTTCCACCTTTAGAAACTCAAAAAGAAGAGCAAACTAAATCTAAAGCAAGCAGAGGAAGAAAACAATACATATTAGAATAGAAATTAATGAAATAGAAATGATAGTCAAAAGTTGGCTCTTTGAAATAAAAGTCAAAGAAATTTACAGATCTTTAGCTTAGTTTGACCTAGAAAAAAAAGACACAAATGAACAAAATTAGAAATGAAAGTAGCCTTGGCTGGTGTGGCTCAGTAGACAGAGTACCCGCCTGCAAACCAAAGGGTCACTGGTTCAATTCCCAGTCAGTGCACATGTCTGGGTTGTGGGCCAGGTCCCCAGAAGGGGGATGCAAATTGCAACCACACGTTGATAATTCACTCCATCTCTTTCTCCTTCCCTTCCCCTCTCTCCAAAAATAAATAAATGATCTTATAAAAAATAAATGAAAGCAGATTAGAAATAACTGTTGACACTACAGAAAGTAAAAGGACTAAGAGAATATAGATAAAATCAGCAATTCTATACCAAGAAGTTGGTAAATCTAAGAAGTTATTAAATAACAATAATATATTTTAAAAACTACACTAATACTAACATTCACAATAAAATAATATGGAAGATGCTTAGAGAAAAGGTAAAGCATATCAAAGTTGTTAAACTTTTTTTTGTTTTACATAATTGGATTGTTGTTCATTGTCAAAGTGATGAAAAATGTCTCAAGCCCGTACATCCCTTTCTGTTCCTGTTGATACTCTAATCCCATAAACTGGAGGTGGGAAGGTTTAGACTTGAAAGATGGACAATGTCTAGATCAATGGCTTTCAAACTTTTTAAATTGCACACTAGTTGATATTGTGACCCACTGTCTGTACATAAAACAGAAGACAAAGTTCCACAAAGTCATAACCTTTATGAGTGATCACTATGATACATTATATTCTGTTCTGCTTCATTCTCTTTCATTTTTTGTATTACTTCAGAACATTTTAAATTGATTTCATGATCCATATGGTTTGAAGATGTGAATAACACCAGTAAGAGTGTTTCCTGAGAAGTCTTGAGTGTTTACCTCTCCTGTTTTAACAATTGTCATGATACTAAGTCTAAAATTAGGTCAAAATAAAAAGGTAAATGAGAAAAAGATATGATAGAGAAAGTTTAATGAGCATAGGATCTTTGAGATCTTCTCAGTTAAGAATGTTTTGGTAGGTAGAATGTTCACTGTTATTACTAGCATCTTCTTTCTGTCACCCAAAATAGAAGGTTGGATTCATTTTCACAACCATCTCTTATTGAGTCAGTCATCCAGTTCTGTGGATTCTTTCCTCACAATGTGTCTCATATCTTTGTTCTTCTTATTTTTCTTTTTTTATTTTAAAATTAAGATATAATTGACACATAACATTGTAATAATTTTAGGTATACAACATAATTATTTGATAATATAATTACAAAATGATCAAAGTTCTTGCTTTGTTTCAGTGCAGGACTGAAATACTGAAAAACTTTAGCCTTCGCTAGAAAAATAGGGGAGTGTGAATGCTCAAATGTTAAGTGTAACTACTAAAAGGATATAAACAAAATGAATAACCTCCAAATTGATAGGGGAATAAGGAAAACTCGGAAGAAATGGAGGAAAAAAAAACACAAGAAAAAGGAAGTTAAATGGAAGACACAAAATAAATGGGAGAAATAAGCCCAAATATTGTACATTATAATAATTACAAATGGATAAAATGATATAGGATTTTAAAAATCCAGCTACATGCTCTTTAAAGAAGCATGGTGAAAATGGAAAGACTCCTGAATGTTAAAAATATAGGAATGGGAAAAGTTGTAACAGGCAAATATTTCAGTAGACAATTATTTACTAGTAAAGAATAACAAAGTTCACTGAGACTAGGGAAATCTCATCTCATGCCCTAGGAGCTTGAAAACAAAAAAATTTTTAAAATTATTTGTATTGTATTCATAGTTAACCTAGCAAGCCCTTTTTTTGTTAGATAGGAGCAGACTTTCATTCTTAGAGTGAAAACACATATTTTTTTGCCTTACACTTTTAAAAGAAGGAATAACTTTTCTTCCACTGGCATACAATAGCACGCATGAATACAGATGAAGTAGAGAGTAAGCAGAGAATCAGCACAACGATGTGACCACATTCACAGTTTACAGACACCCCTTTGGCTGCTGCTAAAGGACAGATCACAGAGGGCAAGGATATCACCTAAATTGCCAAGTGAAAAATGCAGACTACAAAGTAATATATACAATGGATTATCTACCTTAAGCTCTAAAAAACTGCTGGAATATCACCAAATACCTATACTAAAATCATTAGCAATCATTATCTTGAGCAGAATTATTGGTAATTTTTTCATTATGCTTTTCTGGATTTTTCAAAATGATTATCATACAGTATTTTTATGATGTTACTTTTAAAAAGTAGAAATTTCCATAAGTTTTCTTTAAATAAAAATAGGGAGGGCAGCTGTATATTCTAAGATCTAAAAACACTAACTTCTGTGGAAATTCAACAGTATTTCAAATGGACTAAATATTAAAAACAAAACAAAATCTGATTTCTTTCAACCTCTAATATTTTTAAGAGACTGAAGTTCACCTAAATACTTTGGGGTGATATTTTCTTCTAGGAACTTGATCAAAATGCCACTGAGAAAGTCCAGGCAATGTTCACAGCCATTGATGAGCTCTTGTACGAACAGAAGCCGAGTGTACATACTAAGAGTCTACAAGAGGAGTGCCAACAGTGGACATGTAGTTTTCCTCACCTCAGGTATTCATGTGTAACACTAAGATGTGAAAAGCAGATTTCCTAAAAAAACTTGTGCTCGGAATCTTTCTGGGCATGGTTTTGATGAGTAAATAAGGTCATGCAGTGTAAAGCTACGGTTGAAAGTAAACTCAAGTTGCTGGCAGTTTCTTGGAGTTTTCACAACCATGAATATGTCATCCTGAAGAAGTGAGACAGTTTCTGTGCTTAGCTGAGATCTGTGAATCATGGCTGTGTAAAAGCCCTTCTTTTGAACAACATGGTCAGAAAATGTGTTTATCAACACTCTTATCTACAGGGAAATTTTTACATATAGTTGAAAGCACACCTAAGCTGTTAGAAATATTTCCTTAGAAACCATATTAGTGCATTTAATACATATACTTAAAATTTATAAAGTTTCCTGTTCTTAGGAATATGATTCATTGGTTTTCACTATTTTGGCTTGGCTTTCACTCATTTTGACAGGTTTAAAGATGATTACAGAGGATAGAGGGAAAATTACAAGTGTTTGCTCAGTTTCTTTGTGGGTTTTTTTTGTGGGGAGGGGCTATAATAACTTTATTTTTTCCATATCTATCCTAAGGAAGAGACATACATCTGTAATAAAGTTCTGTATTCACATTTTCTAAGAATTATTCTTACTCAGTTATCAGACTAAGTGTATACTGGGCTTCTATGTACAGCTATCAAATTTGTTCTAAAAATACCTACATTTTATATTGATGCCAGGTAAGGGTTAATTGTCTTTCATGTTCACTTTGAAGGATTTTGGGTAAGCAGATAATCACTCCAAGTGAAGGTTATGGACTGTATCCTAGATCCCCTTCTGCTATTTCAGTTTCACACGAGGCAGCACTGTCTCAGGAAAGAGATTCTACTATGTAAGTATTCTAAGTATTTATGTACCCGAACACCCAAGTATTATGTTCTACAAGTTATACTGAGGAATTAAAATACTTCTTCTTACTTTTTTATTTAATAAAGGACAGCAAATTCTGTAAGACTGACTATGGTCTTTGTGCATATTAGAATTGTTATATAATTTTTTCCCAAAAAGTAAGACATTCCCTAGGATTTAAGGATATATTGTTATGTAGATATATATATTATCTATACCTGTATCCATCTATCTACAGATACAGGAAGTTCCCTCTTGGAATAAATGTGTAGATAGACTGGCTTGAAGAAATTTAGGAGTCTAAGAAATAGACCTTAAAAATTTTTTGAAAAAGTGATTTTTGCTTAAACATGTAATATTAGCCCTGGCTGGTGTGGCTCAGTGGATTGAGCACCAGCCTGCAAACCAAAGGGTTGCTGGTTTGATTCCCAGTTAGGGCACAGGCCTGGGTTGTGGGCCAGGTTCCCTGGTGCAGGGTACATGAGAGGCTAACACATATTGACATTTCTCTCCCTCTCTTTCTCCCTCCCTTCCCCTCTGTCGATAAATAAATAAATAAATAAATAAATAAATAAATAAATAAATATAAACACCATGTAATATTATTTACAACTTAATTTCTTTATAGAAGTTAAACTGCTATTAGTTTTTTGGCTTAACAGGGGTAATTAGTATATTAGTTAAAATGGCTGATTCTTTGGAGCAACTCAAACTGTTTAAACAGCAGCAAAATATACCCAAATAGGGTTATTTCAAAACCTATGCTCATCCTTAAATCTACTGTAAAATATTATAGTTTTAACTCATTTCTTATTATTCCTATACTTTTTCCAAAGACTGTAGTTTCACTATTTGATATCCTCTAAGAATTGTCATAATACTTACTTTTGATGGCTGTTTTGCTGTAGTAATTTCATCAGTACACCAAGCAAAACATACTGTCTTAGGCCAGTCCGGGTTATGGGATCTGGGTTAACAACCAACTGACTTTTGATCAGAAATAGGAATTGTTTGCCTTTCTCAAAGTGATATAAACTCAAGTTTCTGATCACAAGGCTAAGCTTGCTTTTTAAAGTTTACCCTTTATATAAATTTCAAATTTTTACAACAAATGTGTCCCACAGAGATGAAGTATTCATTAATTCTTACTGACCAAAACTGCTTAACTCATGTGCTGTCATTAAAATACATTTTTCTGATCTGTTAGCCCAAACTTTATATATATACCTCATTCTAATTTTACAGCTATAAATAATAGTTTCATTCAGAGATTTCATCTCAAAGGAAACAAAGAGCCAAGTCTAAGCAGTTAACTCCTCCAAGGGGCCAACTCATCATTCTGCAACACACTGCAGACGCCCTTTCTTTCCCTTCTGCCTGCTACCGCCACTGCTGACTGACCCTTCTTATTTTTAGTTTTGCTTTTCTGGACTATTTCACTTACAGTTTTCAATAATTACTTTTATTTACTATAGTACAGATGAAACAAATGCCTATCTATACACAGATATATACTTAGATGAAACAAACTGCCCAGCTATATTAGCATGCCACTTCTTATGGAAAGCAATCACAAATTAAACAGAATTCATGCTATTTACCTTCAAAACTGGATTTGTCCAGGTGTGATATTTCCTCTCTTGAGTACCATATCCACTCATAGCATTTCAAAATATTTATGTTTTAATTAACCATTATGATTGATTTCAAATTTACAGGTAGGCCATGTCTAGCTGGTTCCTTTGTGTTTGTCTTGACTCTATCCTTGCTTTCTGGTTACAGTGAGGCATTCCAGACCCATCCTATTTTTTTCTTCCTTTACACCATGCTAGCCAAGGAAGTTTTCCCTGACCTTTTGTTTATGGTCCTAGATTTCTCATAGAGTTCCAAATATGACATTCACATTTCAGGTAGCAGAAAGGAGGAAAGGCAAAGGGCAAAAGGGTACCCCTGACAGCCAAACCAGTTTTCCCTAAACAGCCTTCCCAGAATCCCACATAACAATTCTGCTCATATCTTACTGGCTACATCTGGCTGTAAGGTAGTGGAAAATGTAGCCTTTGAGGTGTGTGTTGCTCTCCTGAACCAAACTGACATGATCTACTAGGAAAGAAGGAGAGGATGGGTATTGGGGTATCTATCATTCTCTGCCACATATGTATGTAATTTTTTTAATTACTGTATATATTATGTAATCTTTTTATACAATCCTTACCATTTCATTTTGGGCTTTTTCTATTTTCTCCTACACATTAATTGAATGACTATATAGTATTCCATTACATTAATATACCATTATTTAAACAATCAATACCTAAACTGTGCCCTGACTGGCGTTAGCTCAGTGGATTGAGCGCGGGCCTGCGAACCAGAGTATCGCGGTTCGATTCCCAGTCAGGGCACATGCCTGGGTTGCAGGCCAGTTCCCAGCCGGGTACACATGAGAGGCAACCATACACTGATATTTCTCTCCCACTCTTTCTCCTTCCCTTCCCCTCTCTCGAAAAATAAATAAATAAAATATTTTTTAAAAATACCTAAACTGTATTTTGAAACTGTTGGGCTAGCTTTAACCCTTGGCAATCATACACAATTCTGTGATGACAATTTTTATAGCTTAATCTTGTAAGGCATATCCTTGAAAGATATCCCCACAAACAGAATCAATGAATTAATGGGTATATTTATTTCAAGACTTCAAATATGTATTTCCAAAGTGTCTTCCAATAAGATTTTACCACTAACTGGTAAAAAGTGACATAGATTTATTTTTTTTGCTTCATTAAAAAAATGCCCAAGGTACAAAAAAAGTATAAAGAATAATATATAACATGACTTGGTTATATTTGATATTTAGTTAAACTAATAGCCAATTAAAAAAATTGTATTGCTCAAATGATCAACTACCTCCTACCCTCTACCAATCAGTAGAAACCATGACCTTGTCCAAGACCCCAACTGCCTTAGTCACCATGAGTAGTGAGTGTCCCTCTATACAACCCATCCCCTAAAAGCCACCAGAGAGCCAGGTCTTTAATCATTTGCTCACCCGTGACTCCGGGCATAGCAATACTTCCTCAACTAAGAAACCCTTACTTTCTTTGTTGCATTTAAAAAGTTGTATTGCTCAGATCTGACTGACTTTCTCCAAAGTCACCTTCCTGAAATGAATAAGTTATCACATATTCACGGAATACTTTGGCTTGAAGAGAAATTTAAACATTATAAATAAGAGAAGATCCCTGTCCTTAAGGAGCATGCATTTTGAACAATGACAGAAATATGGAAATAAGAACATAACCTCCTGAAGTGACTTTAAAGATGCAATTATGAATATAAATATTCTTAGATTTTAAAAAATTTATTTTATAGCCACAGTTGTTGCAGCTGGAAAGATACCAAGCAGTATTCAATACTTCATAATACACCTAAGCAGGTAAGTGTATGGCTAGTGTTTATTCTTCCTGCTCTGAGGATTCATAGGCATTAAGGTTTATGCTGGTACAGGAAGGTGTCACCAGGACAAGGGACTTGAAGCTAAAACTCATGTGACTGAGTGGCTGTGAGAACTGTTTATGTTGTACATAATTATTATTTGCCTTTTTTCTCTTTCAGATTTGGTATTAGGGGAAAGAAGCTACATTTTTCAACTCCTTATGTTCATAAAGCATCTTCCATTGCCAAATTCCCTGGCCTGTGTTCTATGGGAAAAGAAGAGGAAGACTGTGTAATCCTCTCGGAAGGGGTAATAGAGGAATATCTAGCATTTGACCACACAGATACGTGAGTTATATGTCTTTTAAGCTATTTACCCCTCTCCTCTTTGATGGATTAGTATCTACTTTTTCTAAAGTATAGTACCAACATTACCTATAATTAGATTTATGTCACTTTTTGTTACTACTTTTCTGTTGCTTCTCAGGTATCCAGAGTTCATGTGCTTAGTTGATATAAATCCTTATTACTTCTACCTACCAGACTTCCTTATGTTGTTTCTTCCTGCATATATCATTTGTCTCTTCATGACATTAAACATTTTTAAATGAATTAATTTTTTTCTCCACATAATTTGACTTTACTCTATGTAAATTATCACCAGTAACTCATGGAATCACTGAAACTTTTTAAAAGAATAGTTGAAGGAGATATGAACTTCATTTACATAAATCCTGTTTGAAAAAGGTACATATAGTTTATATAAAACCCTTATGCTCAACACAGATTTTGTAATTAATAGTAAGCACATCAGCTAGTCCTCCCCACACCTCCAGAATTGTGGGGCTATTGGCACTCCCTGCCAGAGAAGAGAGACTTGGCTAACTGGGGCTTTCGGAGTTACAGACACACAGTCTCCAGAAGAGCTTCAGCGTAGCTTCCTGTGCTGTTGGGTTCCCCTCTTTTTCATTTCCAGCCAATTGGCAAATGTTTATTGGATTAGTAAAAGTATTTTAATAATCTATGTTGACTGTTTCCCTAATGAATCATTGCCTTAAATAGTTATGGAGCATAATCACAGTAACATGCACATCATTAAATGTGTCACGTTAATATTAATATAAATGTTATTCAGTTACAGCCCTGGCTGGTGTGTGGCTCAGTTGGTTGAGCACCGGCCTGCAAACCAAAGTTCACTGGTTCAATTCCCAGTCAGGGCACATGCCTGGGTTGCGGGACATGCAAGAGGCAACAAATCGATATTTCTCTCCCTCTTTCCCTCCCTTCCACTCTCTCTAAAAATAAAAAAATAAAATCTCTAAAAAAATAAAGTATCCAATTACAACAAAAAAAGATGATTTCAGTATGCTTGTCACAGCTTGTTACTCAATTGACAACACTGATCTGTTTAAAGGTAAAAAATCACAATGATTCTCAGTCTTATTGTTCTTGTTTTATTTTTTGCAGAGTAGTGGGATGGGGTGGGGTGGGGGTAATAATGGAAATTCAGTCTCCTCTGCTGAGAACTCCCTTTGTTCATAGGGCAGCTTAAAGCATGTGCTACATACTCTAGGCAAGGGGTGGGGGAGGGGCGCAAGTCACACTCCTAAGGAGCACAAAGAACAGTGATGAGCATTCAGTGAAGAATAACCATGAAGTCTTTCCATCTTGTTTCTGTTACAGGGAAGAGGGGTTTCATGGAAAGAAAGCAGAAGCAGCTACAGAGAAACAGAAATTAGGGTATCCCCCCATCGCTCCATTTTACTGCATGAAAGAGGATGTCCTTGCTCACGTGTTTGATGACGTGTGGAGCAAGGTCCTGAGCTGTATGGAGCAGTTGACACGTACTCACTGGGAGGGATTTGCTTCTGGTAAGGATCTTTGTGAAACAATATAAAAAGATAATTGTTTATGATTTCCAAGCACTGACCAGTCAATTAGACTATGTTTCATTAGTGCAAAGGACTCATATTTGTATTTCCCACAGAAACTAAGAGATATTTAGAAAATATTTGAGAATGAGTAGATGAGTAGCAAGGGCTAACCTATGGTGACTAGACGGAGGTTGTGTTTTCTCTTTGAATATAATTATTTGTGACAATAAAATGTGCAAGTGGCAAATACATCTTTAAACTGCTTTATTGAAGAATAATGGATATAAAATAAATCATACATATTTAAGGTATACAATTTGATAAACTGACCTGTGTATAAACCCATGAAATCATGAAACAGCCAATCTAGTCGACATACCCATCAACTCAAAATGACCTCTGTGATCCCTCTCTCCTGCCCTTGCCTGACCCACTCTCCCCAAGTGACAGCTAATCTGTCACTGTAGATTTCTTGATTTGCAGAATTTTATATAAATGGAATCATATGGCATTTAACTCTTCTATCAGTTCTTTCACTCATCATGACCATTTTAAGATTCATCCATGTCCTTGTGTGTGTCAATAATTTATTCCTTGTATTGCTTAGTATTCCATTGTTCTATAATGTATTTGTCCATCTATTGGTTGATGGACATTTGTATTGTTTTCAGCTTTGAACTGTTACACATAAAGATGTTATGAACACTACTGTAAAAGAACTTTTTGGAAATACATATTTTTTTCTCTTGGGTAAATTTCTGCAAGTGGAATAGTTGAATTACATGGTTAAATGTATATTTAACTTTTCAAGAATTGTTTGTGTTGGTTTTCTGTGTTGCACAAAAATTATCACAAACTTAGCAGCTTCAAACAATATATATTTATTAGCTCACATATTTGTGGGTCAAAAGTCCAGGAATGGCTTAGCTAGTCCTCTCTCTTTGGGACCTTAAAAGGCTGCAGTCACGGTGTTCGCCAGGGCTGGGTTCTCATGTAGGGGCTCAACTACAGTAGAAAAGGATCCACTTACCCTTTTGTGTGTTCTTGGGAGGATTCAGTTTCTTACAGATGTAGTAGTCATGGCAGCTTTCTTCTTCAAAACTGGCGAGAAAGACTGAGAACTAGTCTGCTAGCAAGACAGAAGCTTATATAATATAACATAATCATGGAAGTGACATCCCTTCACTTTTACTGTCACCTATTTTCTGAAAAAAGTCACAGGTCTTGCCCATCTGCCCACATTCAAAGAGAGGAAATTACACAAATGTGTGAACACCAAGAGGTGAGCATCATAGGGCAGCCACTACATTCCTCCCACCGGTCCCCAATGATTCATATGCTCCCACATGCAAAATACATTCACCTCCCTTCTGAGGTTCCCAGGAGATTCATCCTAATCAGAAGTCTAAACATTTTATCATCTAAATCAGGTCCTTCTATGAATGAAGTTCTTGGATGTAATACAGTAAGTTATTGGGGCACAATTCATTTCCATCCACAGACCTATGAAACTAAAGGTTATATACACAGGTATGTAAACATCTAGCTATGTGATCTAACCATTTCACTCCTAGAGACAAGTTAATCTGACTCCACATCCAACATATAACAATGGGCCAGAGAAAGGATAACAGTTATAGACATTCCAGTTAAAAAGGCAGGGGAGCGGGGATGGAGAGTAAAAAGGGATCCATGTGAAATTTTGAACTCCAATGGGGAAAATATTGGGAGTTCCTTCATTAAGTTTCAAGGCCTGGAAATAATCCTCTCAGCTCTCCACTCCACTGTCTGGGCTCCTAGTTTCACCCTCTGAGTCATCTTTCCTTTCTCAGGAAAGATAGCACATGTTCCCAGCTTGTGTAGATTTACCAGGCTGATTCCTACCAGTAGGATTTTGGAGGTCTGACAACCTTCTTTCATTTAGAATCTTTTGCCATCTAGAGAGACTGAGAATTTCCAAATTCATCAGGTCCTGGTTTCCTTATGTTTAATAGTTTTCCCTCAATTTATCACTCTCATCTTATGTTTTATTATAAGCACCAGGAAAAAAATCAGACCTTACCCTCAACACTTTGACTAGAAATCTCTTCAGCTATATAACCAAGATCATCACTTACAAGTTCAGCTTTTCACATTACCACAAGAGGCCATTTCACTAACCTTTCTGCCACCAAATAACAAACATCTCCCTTCTTCCACGTTCTAATAAAATGTTCCTCGTTTCCTTTGGAGCCATCCCCTAAAGCATCCTCCAAATCCAGATTTCTACTAAATTTGTTTAAGACAATTTATGCCTTCTCCATCATGCTTCTCAAATTTCTTCCAGCCTCTATCAATAAACAATTGAAAGGGAAATTAAGAAAACAACTCATTTACAACAGCATCAAGAAGATTAAAACACTTAGGAATTAACTTAACAAAGGCAGTGCAAGAGTTGTACATTGAAAACTACAAAACATTATTAAAAGAAATTAGAGAAGACCTAAAGAAATGGAAAGATGGCTGTATTTGTGGATGAAAGATTTAATATCATTTAAGATGGCAATACCCCTCAAATAGGTCTACAGGTTAAGTACAATCTTTATCAAAATTCTAACTGCCTTTTTTTGCAGAAATGGAGAAGCTCATCCTGAAATTCATATGGAAATGCAAGGTACCCTAAATATGCAAAACAATATTGAAAAAGAACAAAGTTGGAGGATTCACACTTCCTGATTCTAAAACTTAACACAAAGCTACAATAATTGAAACAGCGTGATAATGGCATAGGACACATTCAAAAATCCAGAAATAAACCTATGCATCTATGACCAATTGATTTTCAGTAAGGGTGTGAAGATCATTCAATGGGGAAAAGAAGAGTTTCCTCAACAAATGGTATAGGAACAACTAGATAGCCACATAGAAAAGAATGAAGTTGGGACTTTACTTGACACCATATACAAAATACCAACTAAAAATGGAAAAAAGACACATTTAAGAACCACAACTGAGAAGAAAACATATATATCTTCATGATTGGCATGAGATTATGTCTGGTAATTTCATGTTGCTTCTGCTTGGAGTTTGTTGAGCTATTTGCATCTGTGGGTTTATTGCTTGGTTTGACAGTGGATTCTTAGATATGACACCAAGTCCACAAATGATGAAAAAATAGATAAATTGGACTTCATCAGAATAATAAACATTTTATATCAAAGACATTATCAAGAAAGGTAAGAAAATCACCTACAGAATGGGAGAAAATAAGCACAAATTATACAACTCATAAGAATCTAGCAGCCACAATATATAAAGAACTACAACTCCACAACAGGATAAACAACCCAATTTAAAAAATGGTCAAATAACTTGAATAGACATTTCTCCAAAGAAGATATACACGTAACCAATAAGTACATGAAAAGATGTGCAAGATCATTATTCATTAGGGAAATGCAAATCAAAATGAAACCACAATGAGATACCATGTCATACCTGCTAAGATGGATGGATATACATATTTTAAAGGACAGTACAAGTGTTGGTGAGAATGTGGAGATTATTGGAACCTTCACACACTGCTAGTGAATATATAAAGTAGTGTAGTCATTGCTGCATTGAAAACAGTTGGGCAGGTCCTCAAAAGATTAAATATAAGTTTACCATTTGACACAGCAATTTCACTCAAAGGCATATAACTGGAAGAATTGAAAACACATACCCACAAAAAGCCTGTGCTTGAAATGTTCATAGCAGCATTATTCATAGTGATCAAAAAGGAGAACCAACCCAAATGTCTACCAACTGATGAATGGATAAAGAAAATTTGGTGTATCATGCATTATGGGCTGCAATGTGTCCTCAAAATTCATATGTTGACCTGGCTGGTGTAGCTTAGTGGATTGAGTGCTGACCTGTTAACCAAAGGGTCACTGGTTTGATGCCCAGTCAGGGCACATGCCTAGGTTGCAGGCCAGGTTCCCTGGTGCAGGGTGCGTGAGAGGCAACCACGAATTGATGTTTCTCTTCCCCTCTTTCTCCTTCCCTTCCCCCTCTCTATACTTTAAAATGGTTAAAAATCATGAATTTTGTTGTGTGACTTTTATTTCAGTAAAAAAATTGTTTTAATTTTTCCAGCCTAAAGGTTATCCTCTAACATTTCTTGTGAGTCTGTTAGTGATGAATTCTTTCATTTGTAGATATGAAAATTTATTTTCCTTTCATATTTTTCAAGATAATTTTACAGGGAATGAAATTTTAGGTAGACAGTTTTTCTCTCAGTACTTTAAAAGTGTGGTGCACTGTCTTCTCATTTGCAATTGAGACAAGAAATCTGATGTCATTCTTTTCTTTGTTCCTGTGTACATGTCTCTTTTTCCTTTGGTTGCTTTTAAGATTTTCTTTTTATCACTGGCTTTGAGCAATCTGATTATGCTGTACCTCGATGTAATTTTCTTCATGTTATTTCTGCTTGGAGTTTGTTGAGCTATTAGGATCTGTGGGATATTGTTTTGTGGAAAGTTTTTAGCCATGAATCCTTCAGATATTTTGTCTGCCCTTCCCCCCACCCCACCATCCCTGAGGACTCTGGTTACTCATGTATATTTTGATCACTGAGCCCTCAGATACTTTTTGAACGTTTTTCCTGTGTATTTCATTTTGAATAATTTCTATTGGAAAACTACCCAAATGTCCCTCAACAGTAGAATGTGATATATTCATACGATGGAGTACTATACCATTAGAATAAGCAAACTACTCTTACAACTTTATTTATACAATATTTATTTATAAAAATAGGTGATGGTAAAGGGCATGAGGTTTTCCTTTGGAGTGAAAAAAGGCATGGGATTAGATAGATAGTGGTGATGGTTACACAACACAATGCATGTGCTTATGCCATGAACTGCACACTTTAAAATAGTTAACATATTAAATTTTATGTTATGGATATTTTTCTACAGTATAATTTTTTTAAACAGGTAATGGGACCTATTTGGCCCATGGCCATAGTTTGCCAGCCCCTGCTCTAAAATGTTAGCCACATGAGAAGCCATGTGGCATAATGGTTACAAGCACAGTTACCAGACAACCTGTGTTCACCCACTGGCTCTGACGCTAACTGTGTGTCTTATACAAGGTGCTTAACCTTGCCGTGCCTCCGCTTCTTTACCTATAAACAAGTATAATTCTAATATTTATTTCGTATGGTCACTTAAGAAATAAACAAGTTATGTGAAATTCATAGAGTAGTTCCTGTAATATTTATGAATGCAATAAATGTTGGCTATTATCATTACTTTAAAAAATACCACATGGAAAGAGAATACATGCATTTTTGGCTTTGGTGTGGACCAGTTGGTTAGCTGTTGTTAGGGCCAATCTGCAGGAACTGGTATAAACCTATCCCTACTACTAGAGAATTGTTTTTTTCTACCTCTGTATGAGAAAGAAAAGCCAAACTGCATGCTAGTCATATGTACAGTAGGGCCACATGGCAACCTGTCATATTTGGAAGTGTCAACTCTAAACCAGAAGTATATAAAACTGAGCAAATGTAACTATTTGTTCATTTTTATAACTTGGTATTTTTACCATCATTTTAACTTTCAGTCAAGCCAGCATTAAAATCTAAATTGTGGAAGAATGTTTATTATTTATTTTAAAATTATTTTAAGCCTGATTTGCTAATGGGGAAACAAGCTTCACTGGACATATTTGTCGAGGACAGTTCTACCTCCTCAGAACAAAACAGGAGTAAACAGAATGATCACGGGTGCAATTTAGAACCAATGACCAACAAGAGTTATAGATATTAGTTTTACTCAGAAACGTAATCTCTCAATTTGAATTCCGTTTCTGAGCCAAATTTAATGGTGAAAAGCACTAAAACCCACCAAAATCCAATGTTTTGTAATTATGATCCATGAAGCTATGGACACTCTTGAACATTCCTCCTGGTATATGTGCAAGAGCTCCTCTAGGGTACACACCAAGGAGGTTGCTGGCTCAATGGAAATGCATCTTCAACTTCACTAGATATCACCAAATTGTCCAAAGTGATAGTACCAGTTATGTATATCCACCAAGAGTACGTGAGCTCCTGTGCTCACAATCTTATCAATAATTTTTGATCAACTCTAATTTTCTGTTGACATATAAAAGGATGTCTCATTGTGGTTTTATATCTTCATTTTTTAAGTTGAAGTACAATTTACATATAGTACAATTTTCCCCTCAGTGTACAGTTCATGTTTTCCACCTCCTTTGCTTTGAACTGAATTCAGGATTTCTTTAAGCTTTCTTCTTCTAGTGCACTAAGTCTGTCTTTAGCAGGATCTAATCTGCTATTGTCTCTGCTGAGAGTTTTTCTTGTTCTTTAGCAATTTCAGTTCACGTAATTTCATTTTATTTTACAAATCTGCTTGGTTATTTTTATGTCTTACTCTTTACTCATATTTTTTCCATTGCTTCACTTCTTTTACATTTTGGACTTGGTAATTTCAATTTCTTAAGTCTTTGCTGACCTGATTATGCTGTTTTTGCTTGCTTTTTATCAAGTTGTTTTGTGTCCTTATAAGTTGTGATTTGTAACAGTGGGTTTTAATCTTGCAGCTTTGTGTGTGGAAATTCTTTGAGGCCTGAATTAATGGGGTGAAGGTTTATCTAGTGTTAGTAGTCACTAGTCACATGTGGCTATTTAAATTTTAATTAAAATTAGATTTAAAAGTCTGTTCCTCAAACTAAGCAAATGTTAAGTTCTCCATTGCTACCTGTGGTTACAGGCCACTATGTTAGACAGTGTGTATGTAGAACATTCCCATCAATGGCAAATATTCTGTTGCATAGCTTTGCTCTAGAGATTTTTTCTTTTTTTGCTTTAGAGCCTTATACTTCTGTACTTGTTGGCTTCAGAACTCCCCAAACCCTGTACTTGTCACATTTTGATGAGAAAAAAGTTTCAGCACTCAGGTGCTTGCTCAGGACTCATTGCATTTGCTAGAATTTGCATGAGTGGCAACTCCGTCTTGCAAGAGAAAATGCTTCATTCCTTGGTACTTGTGTGTTTTGGTGCTTGTCATGAGTTCCAAAATGAATTAACAATCAGTACCAAGGTACCACTGTATTTGCTTTCCCTTAAGCCAGGTACCAATAGGCATTGAAGCCTGGGAAATTTCCTTAAATAGAATTCTTTGAGGATTTTTTTGGAACCATGCAGGTGGTAAGAAATTGGGCTGAAATGATGAGTGAAGCCTAGCTTGAGAATGAATTCTCAAGGAAGATTTTTTTCACAGTACTGTTGCAGTGGGTCTGGAGATATCCACGGATAATATTCTGTTGTTTTTGTTTTTGTTTTTTTGCTCAGATGATGAGAGTAATGTTGCAACCACCAGATCAGCTTCAGAAAGCCCCTGTGTGCTAAGTGAGCCACAACCTTTGGTCTTACCTCGCGTGCCACAGTCTAAGGTGCTGTCGATGACCTCCAATCTGGTAAGCCCCCAGAGGAGTACACTGTAGAGCCTTGAATTATTCTTGCCAGAAGTTTTCTCTGAGTTATTTGTATTAAATGTAGTGTTTATGGCTCATTTTTCAGTAGTTATGTGTTTATCACTACAATCCAGTGATTCTATGTATTGACAAAAGACAATTCAATTTGAAAAATTAATAGCAAATCAGGGTTAAGTTATTCTCAGTCAGCTCTTTGAAAATGTATGTATTAACTGTGTAATCTAGAAGCAACTATATGGTCAGCCTAACTCTTCTGGGAAGAATGAAGAATATGATGAAAACAGGAACCAGATATCAGATATTTTAAGGCCTTCACATTTCTGTCCTTTGAATATCTTTCGAATCCCTTCCCTCTTTTTTTTTTTTTTTGTCACTGCCTACTTGATTTTTGTTTTTAATGTTTTGCTTTTTGGTGTTTAGTACTCAATGCAGGTGTAAAAGGCAAACCAGAGAGAAGTGGTCTCAATTAAGTCTATGGACAAACGTAGATGTGGCCATCTTTTGTAGAAGGTTGAGCCTGCTGAGGAGCCTGGTCTCATCCAGTGTAATGATTATGAAGTAGCAGCTACTACATGATAATTTTCCAGTGTTACCTGTAGCAAAAGAGTTGGGGGAAGGAGGGAGTAGTGGGGAGGGAAAAAAGAAAAGAGAAAAGGGAGTCTAATGCTTGGGCCAAGTTCATCAACCCTGGATTTTACTACCAGCTCTAGTATTTGCTTTGCTGGTATACTGAGCAGATATTGCACAGCTGCATTTAGAAAAATGTTACTTAAAAATAAAACCAGCAAGGCTCAATTAATACCTTATCACATCAAAGGATGAACCAGGTGAACTAATGTTCCTTGGATGGTAATAAAATACTTCTACATGTAGAACTGGTTTTGGCTACGGTTTAGGAAACCTAAGTCCTGATCAGTTAACTTGAATGGTTCTGGCTAATGATGTAAAGAAAAAAGCGTTAATCCACACATTCTTGAGAGAAAATGGGAGGAAAGTGAATGGCAAAGGAAATGACCAGATGACCTTAGAACAAAGAAACAGGACTCTGAGGTCCTAATGTCAGTCCAACTTAGACTAGATCCTTCTAATAAACAGTCTTCAGAATTTCAGTTCTGAGACATGACTACTGCAGGAGTAGTGAAGGAGAAAGAATTAGTTTGTGTGGAGTGTAAGACTGTGATGATGGTAGAGATCATGTTAGAGTTTATCCTTATTTTAAAAACTTTGTTCCATATTTGTTTTCTTTTCTCACAATAATAACAAAGGTCCTCTCTCCCCTATGACAGTGGCTACTAAGTGCTTTCATTTAGGTTGGTCAGGCTTCCCACACCTGCTGTCATTGAGGAAAGGACTATGACCCTGTCATCTTGACAGTGAACTTGGGTCCCAGCTAGGCTACTGACCAAGATGTTACAAAAGTTAAGGCACAGGACAAAAATGTATACATGACCTAATTTGGAAATAATAACTTTTGGCAGAGTTGGGAAACTGAGCAGGTATCTTCGCCAACCAATAATGAGTAACATCTTCTTCTAACGTGTAGATGAGTCTCTGTCAAGCAGCAAGTGGTCATCAGCCAAATGTGAATGGTCTCTTGGTTCACGGAATGCCTCTACAGCCAAGAAATCTCTCCCTGATGGACAAAATCCTGTAAGGAGTATAAAATTCTAATAATCTAGAGTTTAAGTAGATCACTGAGAAATAAAAGGAAAGTCAATCAGTCAACATGTATGTATTGCTACCAAGCAATCAGACATCTTGGGAGTAAAAACATCTAAGGGAGATGGTCACTACCCTCAAGGAGTGGATAATTAGAAAGAGAAGACACACATGAGTGAAAGAGACCTAACCAAATAGGGCATTTTTGTGACTGAGTGCCAAGTGTGTGGTACCCAGAGTGAGTGCTATGATGGCCCCAAAGAAGGAAGACATTTTGGCAGATAAGTGTAGATTTTGAACTTGTCCTTCAAAGATGGGAATTTGGAAAGCAGAGAAAAGCAGTAGAACTATTCTAGGTAGGAGAAATTATATGGGAGAAGATTTGGAGATGGTAAAATACAAAATATAATACATAGAACAGAAAGACCATTTCTGCTACAGAAGGAGACAGGTCAGAACTTGAATGTTTCTGACCGAAGATTACTGACAATCTTCTAGAATTTTTATTGCCAAGCAGTATTCTATTCTAAGAGTGTACAATTTGTTAATCCATTCTTCTGTTAGTGAACACTTGGGCTGTTTCCAAGTTGGGGCTGTTATACGTAAAAACACTGTAAATATTTCTGCACAGGTCTTTTTTGTGGACCTGTGTTCTCATTTTTCTTGGTTTAGTATCTAGAAATCAAACTGCCATAAAATTTTCCAAAGTAATTGTACCTACCATTTTATACTCCTAACCAGCAATGTATGAGTTTCAGTTGGGGAGTACATATATTTAAATCAGGAATTTGAAATATTTCACAACAGTAGAACATAGATTGAAATGTAGGACATGTAGGTTAGGAATCTAATGCAGGAGTTGGAACATGTGCCCCTAATGGTCTGTCTGCACTCAAGTTGTAGCAAAGGATGAGAAAGAAATGAAGTGTAGGAGATTACAAAAGAAATCAAATTCTATAAAAATAGAAGAATCACAGTCAACTTTGAAATTTCAAACTCAATGGAAGCTTGTTTGGGAAGGTAAGTCTGGTTTGGGGTGTGTTGAGTTTACAGTGATGGGCCATGTTGTGGGAAAACATGCCAGAGGTCATATTTGGCAGTTGATATAGAAGTCACCTGGCTAGAGGTGATAAGCAAATTCAGTTATGAAATTAGGGTGTGTAAAGAAAATGCGTACGTGAATGTTCAGGGAAGCAGGGAGACCAGAACATCTCTTGTAATGCTCAAGGCTTAGCCCTATTCCTTGATGGGTACTTTCCCTTCCTACTCCTCCAGCACCGAAGCATATTTTGCACTAGAGGACATCAATGTGGCCTGGAAGGTTGAGGAATTTGCTGAAGGCCAAAGAGCAAGTGGCAGAGCTTGCTTCATTGTTCCACTGCCTTCTTTTCATTGTGCTTTACAATAGAGCCAAACATCCTCTCACAGGCTTAAAAAACAAAACACCTGAATCTATAGGGCAGAGTTTATGCTACTGAACCGTTCAGGCAAAGTATTTTATTTATCAGAGTACTTACATCAGAGTGTTCTACCTCACAGTTGCTTATACAAACAAGAATCTACTGTGGTCCTACTGCCTGTGGTAGCACAAGGCTCTGGACCTTTTGCCTGCTCCCAGATTTCTAAGGAACCCAAACTCCTCCCCCTGCAAGTTCCAATTAGCTCAGCATTTTAATTTCTGCAGGGGTAGTCACATTGCTTCCAAGCAGCAAGATTTGCCTTTCAACTAAGTCTTTCCGGTGACATTTTTCAGCACCAAGGAATGCCTTGAATATGATAGGAATTGGTCCCTGAGGTAAACTTTCTGGAAGCACTTCAGAGGAGGTACCCTTCAGGTTAGCCCTCACTGGTAACTGAAGGAAGTGACTGTGATTGCAGGTGAATAAGAACTTTATTTCCCAAATCTCTATTCTGTGTACGACTGAAATGATGCCCTTCTTTGAAGAACACATTCTCATGCCTAGGCTAGATAATGTAAGTTCTGAAAACTATGTTAGTTTTTACTTTTGCATTTTTCTCCCATGAATGTTTTATAGTCTGTTTTTTACCCGTTGAGTTGTGTCTCCCAGTACAGAGCAATCTCAATTTCACTGTGGGTTTCTTTGGCCACTAGAGATCTCGATGACAAGCTACTTATGAGGCCTGGGTCCAGTACCACCCTTTCGACCCGAAATTGGTCAAATCGAGCCCTAGAGCTTTGTACATCATCTCTGTCATACACAGTGCAGTCCGCCAGGAGGCGCAATCCCCCACCACGAACCCTGCATCCCATCAGCACAAGCCATTCCCGAGCTGGAACACCAAGACCTGTGGAAGAAATCCTCAGAGGATCCCGAGTGTAGGTTTTATAAGCAGAATTTCTGGAAACTGTGGTAAAACTCATGAAGAATTTTATGTAATGAATTTAAGTATAATATTGAAATACATTTCTAGAAACTAATCATTACATATTCTTATGATGGATTGCACACTGGTTCAAATCCATCCACTACAGAAAAAAAATGGCTTAAATGTGAACACAGATACTGGACCTTTCTGTTGATTTAGCTGAAGATTTCTATTTCTACAAATAAAATGTTGGCTAAATGTTGGCTTACCAAATAAAAGGTATATATATTTTATTATTTTCCTTAGTGGGAACATGTTCAGTGAAGTTCATCCCACAATAATAGTTAATTCTCATTTAATGTTTTCTGTACCACTGGAATTGCTTATTCCACTGACAATGAAGTTTGTAAACCTTAGAGAAATTATTGCTTATAATTTATATTCCAGGAAAAATACCCCTCAGCACTTCTTAGGAAATAACACTACACATATCCTCTCCCATTTCTCACCCTTCATTTGCTACACACTGAGCCTCATTGTGCAAAAAATACCAATTTTTACAATTAAATTCTTTAGTTAACTCACAAAATGTAGGATGATTTCTAGGATTATGATCAAGGGTATGAAATAATGTAACTGTTTTGAATTCAGCTTCTAACTTAAGCACATACCACTATACTTGTCTCCCACCATTTCTTGATTTTGATTTTTCAATTTCTCATTATAATTTATCCCAACACTCACTAAAAGAGATGTCCAAAACCACCAAAAATCTTTGTCAGGAACTGGGGTTCACCTCACCAGCTCACTATTTTATTGTGTTGCTGAGGCAGTCTCTATGCTGTTATAGCTATAGATTCATTCATTTAGGAGTGAGTGGTCTTGATGTATAATTAATCTCTTATCCCTTCTGACAGTGCATTTTTTCAAAGTGAAAAAAGAAGTTGCTTTGTTTTTTCATGGACATGAAAGTATCACTGTTTCAATTACTGTCTTGGGTATGAGTTACACAGCCAACTGCTCCAGACTCCATGGAAGAAAATGGGAGTGTAGGACCTTTCCTGGGAATTATAGTTATTAGTGAAAAGGACAGTCAGAACAGTGAATTCCATCAGATGTAAAATTACAAACCCATTATTGGTAGAGAAGTGCAACATCAGATAGGGAGAAAAGTTTTTTTACAGATTTTATTTATTTTTAGAGAGAAGGGAAGAAAGAGAGGAAGAGAAATATTGATGTGCAAGAGATACAGGGAAGCCTCTTGCATGCCCCACACTGGGGACCCAGCCCACAACCCAGCCATGTGCCCTGACTGGGATTTGGACTGATGACCTTTCAGTTCACAAGCCAGCACTCAATCTAGAGTCACACCAGCTAGAGCAGTGCAAACTTTTATTCCAATTTTCTGTGAAAGGGTCAACTGCTGTGTTCAGGATAGTTTCAAGAAAAATCATAAAATACTATGAAAAATCCCAAAGTCCTTTCATTGAGATCTCTTTACTTAAAAAGGTTAAAGTTTTGTGTATGACGTTAAATTCATGTTGAATTTATCCTGATCAGTTTGCTTTTGTTCTAACTTGATGCTTTCATGTCTTGTGTTCACTGCTTGATCTGCAGCCAGGTGATGGCTGACTCGCTCTCTACTCCCTCACCAATGCCCCTGAGCCGAAATAATCTGCTGCCACCTATTGGCACAGCCGAAGTGGAACACCTGAGCACTGTGGGGCCACCACAAAGGCAAACGGTATATGTCTGTTCCCTATTGCCTTTCCATGCGCTTATAAAACCTCATGACAGTAATTCTGTAGGACCTATACTCTGGCCTTAACATACTATATTTTGCCTAAAGCAATACTGAATTCTATTCGATGCCAGTGGAATTGGAGGTGCTTGGCTTGGTAGGGTTCATGTAGTGTACACATAGCAAATTGTTTTAATTGTTTCTGTAATTTTGTCTCTGCCACAGAAAACCCACGGTGATGCTAATCGTGCTCGAAGTGCAGTGGTGGATGAGCCTAATCATCAGCAGCCCCAGGAGAGGCTCCTTTTACCTGACTTTTTCTCCAGGCCCAACACAACTCAGTCATTTTTGGTAGTGACATTTCCTCTGTGGTCTTGATAATTGGGGAAAAGGAAAAAAACACTAGTTTGGCAGACTTAAGACTCTACATAGTGGCTCGGTCGACTCAAAGCATAAAAGTTGAGGTTCTAACAATGAAAATAGTGTTTTAAGAACATTTTGTTGAAATTCTAACTGGACTCTTGCTACTCATTCTTTTAACGTGTAGAATAAAGTATTATAAAATGCTAATCAGGCCTGAAACATCACTAGAGGCCAATGACAAAACTGAAGCTGTCTGCCTTCAGGCACGTCATGAAAAGGCAAGATTCTTTGGAAAAAACAATAATGCTGGGAAAAAGTAGAAAACAGCAGGAAAAGAGGAAAACCAAGTATGAGATGAGTTGACTCCGTAACAGAAGCTATAGGCATGGGTCTACAGGAGCTGAACAGGGCTGTTGAGGACAGGACATTGCGGACATCATTCACAGGCTCAGCAGGAGTCACCCAACTCAGCAGCATGTAACACGCAAACACAAATGCCTTATGTATGAATTACAAAATGTAAAAAAGTTAAAGTTTAGATATTTCTTGAGAATAAGCAAAAAAAAAAAAAAGTTAAACCTCAATGTATATTTGGTCAGCCTAACTTCATTCTCCAATGCTGTTCTCATGGAGTTTATACCAATAGTGCTGTCATATAACGATGTGGACTGCTGGATGGGCAACTTAGGACTTTTTTTTAGTTAAGATGCCTAACACTGCCTTATTATTCTGTGTATATTTATTAGCCCCTTTACTTATAAGCGAGTAATAGAAAAACCTTGTTGGGAGACTGGTGGTTATCCCCTGGCCTTGCCCAGTTGTACACTTGCTCGGCCCCTCCCCATCTGCTTTGTTGTAAGAGGGCTTGCTGGGCTTGGGGAAGTGACTGGGGCCACACTTAGTGCCCAGGAATTAGGGTCTGCACAACCTATGTATTTCCAGGATAGTGGTGTTTGTAGCCCTCTTATCCCAACTCATAACCCTTGAACTGTTAGAGCCTAAAGCATCATCTTTAGGCTATACATTGAAGCATACAATCTTTCCTCCACTAGAATGAGAATGAATGGGCCACTGTATTAGTTTCCTAGAGTGGCTGTAACAAATTATCACAAACTGGGTGGCTTAAAATAGAAATTTATTGTTCCAGAGCCTGAAGTCCAAAATCAAGGTGTCAGCAGAGCCATATTCCCTCTTTAGACTCTAGGAGTCTCTTCTTGCCTCTTCCTAGCTTTTGGTGGTTGTCAGCAATCCTTGGTGGTCCTTGGCTTTGCAGCTGCATCACTCCGATTCATTTGTCTTCACATAGCCTTCTTCTAATTTCCCCTCTTATAAACATACCAGTCATTGAATTTAGGGCCCACCCGAATCCAGTCAGACCTCATCTGAGCTTGATTATAAGGGCATAGATACTATTTCCACATAAAGCCACATTCACAGGTCCCAGGTGCATATAAACTTTGAGGGGACACCATTTACCCCAGCAGACCTCAGGAGGCTTGATCCTAGGGTGAGTCACCCAAAACACAGGCAAAAGGGAAACATGAGCACTTTTGATTCTTTCTCAACATGAACCTTAGAAAGTTTGAGAACCTTTATTAAATGTGTCTTCTCATAATTTGACCCAGAACATTTGTTAAGCAATGTTTGTTGATTATATTCTATAGCTAGATTCTCTTGTATCAAACATTTAATTGTGGTTGCCTTAGGAGTAAAGGTGAACACATGAAAAAATTCAAGTTTCTTCGTTTTTATAGTTATAAAACAAAAGTGAAACTTTCTTACCTTAGCCATTTCTTTCTCAATTTGCTGTCATGAAAAGGGATGAGCTAGTAGCTCAATGTAACTAAAAGCACTAGATCTGAGTCCTGGGCCTGGCTCTGCCAAACAAGCACTCTGCTCCTTGGTGGTCTTGTCCAGAATGGGAATCAGCATTCATGGGCCATCTGGCTTACTGCTTGTTTTTATTTAAAAGTTTTAGGGCAGAATCATCATGCTCATTCATATACTGTCTCTGGCTGCTTTCCCATTACAACTACAGAGCTAAGTAGTTCCAACAACAGCACTGTGTACCACCAAGTCTAGAATACTTACTATCTGGCCCTCTATGAATACATTTGCTGACCCCTGATCAAAACATAGGGCTTCAAACAGGAAAAAAAAATTCCTGAAATCTCTTGATTGTAATGCTGTGACATGGAACCGAGGGCTATTTTTTTATTCCAGAAGTGCCAGCGAGATGGCATGGATAGCTTTTATTTTTTGATATTTCATATTTTACTATTTTAGAACTTAAAATCTTTATAATTTTGAAATGTTTCACATTATTATATTTTAAGTACAGAAATCATGAATGTTTCAATGCTGCTGAAAATGCTGTTCATTGTTTTAAACAGTCAGCAGGCAACAGAAATTGTATTAAATTCCCCTGGTGGCCAATTATATTTAGGAATATTAAACCATACAGATTATTTATAAATGCTAAGGTTTTCTTAAAGGCATATTAATAAAGCTGTAGAACTTGCAATTTTTACATGTTAACAAATGGCTCTGTGGACCTCTGGCTTTGGATTTTTCCCCTGGAATGTAAGAGGGTGCACTCAACTAACTTCTCCCTTGGATTAGTGGAAAATGCCATTTACATTGTTGTCCAATTGGGAGGTTTTCTCTATAATTCTACTAACATATTACCTTTTGGGAGACACAGCATTACAAATGTCTCTTTTCTTTTCAGCTGGACACGCAGCATCATCATTCATGTACTGCTGAGTATCCTCACCAGGCCAGACCCGGGAGGGCATCTGCAGGGACAGGTGGGGCCAAGACTTATTCTACCACTATGTGGCTATGTTAGGACCCTACCTTGGTCTTTTAATTCTATGCTTATTCTCCTTTCCTTTGGCTTTTACATTTCATTTTCCTACATCTTTGCAAGTCACCTCAAATTCATTTTGGAAGATGGGATATAATAAAAAGATTGAGGAGAGCTTTACTGTTCAGAGCCAAAGTTTCAGATTTGTTTTCATTACAGTATGTAAATGAACCTCTCCCCACTTTGGCAATGTAAACAGTACTTTTTCTTTAAAAAAAATTCAAACAAGTTACTTTCATAACATTCAAACACTGCATTAATGTTATGTAGGCAAAATCCATATTGCGATAGAATAAACTGCTTTGGTTGGTTAACCTGCAAGGCCAACAAGGTAAGACAAAACAATTCTAAAAAGGCAAGATATGCTCAGTCTGATTCTATCCCATTTACTTTTTGGTTTCTACATTATATTGTGTAGCTTCTATTTTCCTGTGAGTAATGGGAGAAAATTTAAGAATGTCTTAATTCTTCTTATAATAGTCTTCTTATAGTTATCAAGAATATAGTTATTCTTCATTCTCATTTTGTTATAGGTGAAATTTAGAAGTGGGACAGTTAGTATGTTTCCTGTTAATAAGATTCATCAGCAAGTACATTAAAAAGTAATCTGCCCAAAACGATTTCTGTAGTCCAAATGAATTCTCTTAATTCAGTTCTTAGTGGCAGTGTGGTAGTCTTTGAATGCTTTCAATGGATTATTTTCTTGGATCAGTCATCACAGAAAAGCAATCCTGCCTCTGCGCTGAGTTATTAAATTTAGCCATGCTCATGGTCAGGTGTAACTAGTGTAAAATTTAGTTAAGTGAAATATTTTATTCTTTTTCAATTAGTGAAAACTTCTCTAAAACTTAGGTTATACTTTCATATCTTAATGTAGATATTTTCCCATAAATACGCAAGTTTTTTTGTTGCCTTGGCAAATATATATTTTACTACTCATTCCCAGTCTCCAAATTTAAAGTCCACCTGGTTATTGGAAGGGGAAAAAAAAAAGCCTTCAGATATGAATTTGAGAATACCAAATCTAATATCTACTAATGTGTCACTCTATGATATCCTCTTAATCTTACAGGTCCTCAACCACATGGGTCTACAGTAAAGTCTCAAAACAGAAGTGGGCCAGTCTCCAGAACCAGGCAGGGACCATAGGGCAAATGAGAAGAACCTGCTTCAGGCTGCAGCAAACACGTGGGAAGATTTCATAAGCCAGTGTTCATGTGATGCAGACTTTGTATAGAAGAAACAACTTGAAACTATCTTCATGGAGAGTTATTTTGGTACAATCCACCAAAGATTACATGGGTACTGTTTCTATCTCCAGTTACTGTCTTCTTTCAGCATTAATTTGAATTATTCCAACAGACAGTAAAGTTTGCACCAAAAGATATAACAAAAGAATAATTACTCCCAAATCACTGCTCATGTTGTCTGTTAACAATGAACAGTTCAATTATTATAGGATCCTATAAGACTATACATACACAAAAAACAGCAAATTATTGATAACATTAAGTCATCACTGGCTTTGAAATACTTCTGCTTATATTAATTTCTGGAGAGTTGTACTCAGTTTTAAGTCATTTTTAGCAGATAGGGCTGTCAAAAATCTGAACAACTCATCAAACAGATGTCATTCCTAAAGCTTTTGCTTTAGATGTCCAGCCCCACAGACAGATACAGAAGGGGTGAGTAGCTTAAAGACGTCGATGTTAAACACTGGTGTAGAGTAACATATGTAATAAACCATAATGCATATTACTTTTTTCAGATAGGACAGCTCAACCTCATAATGACTGCTTGGTATCAGGTTATACTTCTTTTCTTTAGTGGTCATATTTTTCCCCAAATACTAAATTCAACTTGCCAGATTTTCTCCTTCAGCTGTAAAAGTCAATTAAAAAATTTATAGAATCTTTCTATTAGTGAGCCAGAAAGATACCATTCCCTAAAATTTCAGACACTTGGTGATTACTCCAATATGAATATATCCTAAGAGCAGAAGCAGAGAACTTAGACATTCTTATAATTCTACCCTGGATCGTCTCCTGAGTGCACCCATGAATGCAGCAACAGTTTGAACTATGGCTTTATTTTATTTAAATTTCATTCAACTTTAATGATCATACCGGTTTTAGAACTTATTGTTAATCTTCAGAGGGATAAATTCAAGTGACTGTAAGGTGGGGTAATTTTTGTATTTTATCAAAGTGTTCTAATGCTATCATATGAAGACAGATGCTTCAAACAACCTGTATTAAATTATATTTTAATACAATTAAAGAGTATATTTTTTAATCTGTGTATAGTCCACAAACTTGAAAACATGTCATGTACTTATCCGATAAATTATGATATATAAAGCTCAGTAACAGAAGACTTATTTCATGCATATGGCATTGAAAATATTACTCTACAAGCCAGGGATTTTAAGTTGAATAGTCCTTAAAATCCTTCCATATAGTCTAATAAATACATACAACTCAACTACATAAGTGAAAATCTCTGTACTATTCTTGCAAATCAATACCATGAGTGCATGAAAACAAACCACTGAGAGCTTTACTTTCAAAATCAGAGTTAAGAGTCAGAAGGGCCTCTAAGACATCATTTACCCAAACTCCCTCACCCTTTCATGGATGAGAAAACAAGTTCCCACAAACTCAGTGACCTGCCCAAGAACATTTATCAGTAATATTCCAGTGATCATTTAAAACTTAAACCATGTTTTACTTGTTAATCATGTTAAGACTTATAAAGATGCCTGAAGTAGTGTGAACAACTTTTTCTCCTGTACTTCAAGCAAAGAGTACAAAACCTGGTTCAGTGAAACAAAGAGAGAGAGAGAAAGAGAGGATCTATTTAAGAATATTAAGACCAAAAGCAAACTGTCAAATGTTCTGAAGACATTCTTGCTAAGTGGAATACCTGTCATAATAAACATCCACATCACTCCAAATACTCTGCATGTCACTCTTGTGTAGCAATATGACAGCTGGTAAGGGAAGTATGGACAGACCCACATTCTAGATAAAGTTCCTTGTACAGAGATCTACAGAAGCAAGTGCTATCAAAAGTATACCAATCTGCCCCTCTCACCTCAATGATCACCACCAAATTCCTTCATAGGAGGACTTCACAGAATGTCAGAGGATTTCTAGGATATATATACTAAGATCAGTTTGAGTTGACTCTGGTTACATACTTAATCCAAATAATTTAGTCAGGAAAAACAACTTTTCCCAAGGGTTGAGTTGACTTTTGTTTTCAGATCTTGACTGTACCTTCTGCCTACAATGCCATCAGCTAACACCTAATGACTTTTGAAGAGAAAATTCCATTATTTCTTTTCTTTCTTGAGAGCTGTTTTTTTCCCTCCTCGTTTGGAAGGTTTGCAGTACTTTGCTTCCATCTGAGCCAGAAAACTGTCCATTTCCTTTTGCCGATCCTTTTGTCTGCTCTGTTTGAGAGTTAAAACACAAGCTTTCAAAACACTAGATTATTCATAGACCAAAGTACTTAGTGATTACCAGGGGCTGGTGGGAAGGGAGAATAGGGATTGACTACTAACAGACAAGGGGTTTCTTTTTAGGGTGATGAAATGTTCTGGAATTAGATGGTGGTACAACTTGATGAATATATAAAAAAAAACCTTTGAAGTGTACACTTTAAAAAGATGAATACATGATAGGTGAATTATGCCTTAGAAAAGACAAAACACCCACAACATTATACGTATACTCTGAAGAAAATATTAACTGCAGGAATCAGAACAAGAAGAAATGGCAGCAGCCTTCACAAACAGCTTGCCAACTTTACCTGAATGACCGCTTTCAAGTTACTTTCTCCATCAAGACCCAGCTCCTTTCTGCTCATTTCTGCTTCTTTAGCCTCTTCCTCAGCCTAAAACAGAAACTCATGTGAGATTCCATTTCAACCTAAAAATATATCCTCTTTGCCAAAAGCAAATCTGAAGACCCTTTCTATTTGAAGATTACTTAGAATAAACTTGCATAACTAGGTCATTCATTAAAAGGCAAAATTGCTGAAAGCAAGCAGTATGTCTTCTGATTCTGATAAGCATTTCTGAGTTCTCCTCATCTTTACTTGTTAGGGGTAGCAAGTACTTCAGTATTAATAACCATGTGATTATAAGAAGGAAAACAAAATGCTTGGAGAACTAAGGAAGGCATTTTGAAGGATGCCTTCAAAAATATTACCAGGATACAGGCACCTCAGGATTCCTCCTCTGGAAACCCAATTTACTATATGTGACGTGTCAGCCTTGAAAGCAACCCTGGTTTAAAAATCTCAAGAGGTCAGACTAAACACTAACAAATTCAGCTTTAACCTTTCTTTACCTATTTCAAGCCACCTCTCTTGCCAAATTTTCCTAGGGCACTGATTCCAAAATACCACCAGAATACCTGGGAAAGGCTAATAAACTGTTTTTTTTTTTCCTTCAGGGCAACAACTAAAACTATTAAGAGGTTCCAACCCCAGAGAATTTTCTAAATAGCAACAAATACTATTAATACTGAGAGTGATGACATATTAGAACCTTTTTATTCCAATAAAGTTTCCATTGTCTACTTTCAGACCAATTTCTCTTAATACTGTATTAAGTATTAATACGGTATTAATACTTAATTAATACTCCCCGCACAGAACGTGCTGGAGTCCCTCTCAAATCTACACCACCCCCTTCCCCCAATACTTTAGGGAAGTTTCTCAAGCTAATATCCTATTACTTAATACTACTATGCTCAGTTTCACCTGAGAAAATGATTACCACCTTAAACTGCCATCTTGAGCCTAATAGTCTATAAGCCAAAATGATACTTAAAAAATTTTTTCTCATCCAAGAACATTTTTTTCATTGCTTTTTAAAGTAAGAGAAAGGGAGAGAAACACCAATGTGAGAAAGAAGCATTGACTGGTTGCCTTCCATACATGCCTGTAATGGGGACTATATGCATCTGGACAAGGGACCAAACCCACAACCTAGGTAATATGCCCTGACCGGGAATTGAACATGTAACTGTTTGGTTTCAGGACGATGCTCCAACCACCTGAGCCACACAGGCCAGGGTCAGAAAGATATATCTTGATATACATTTTACTTTTCTCAACTCAACACACATAAATCAGCTTCCCCGTATTATTTTTTAACTAAAATCTGCAAACTTAGTCATACTCCAAATTCAGGCATACAAAATAAGATATCCACCTAAGATACCCACCAAATATTTAAAACCTCACAGTTTGCTCTCCATGGACTTCCCATTATGAAAATCAGGTTAAAGCAATGGTTACTTAGTTACTAGTCTGGTTTACCCCCAAAAAACCAGAGGCACAGATGTTTCCTACTTTGAATCTACGCCCTCCGGGAACCCCAGCTGTCCTTAAGCTCCTTTCCCTACCACCACCAACTCCACATTTAATATGGGTATAAAGGACACACTTGTTTCAAGCCTGGTTCTCCAAAAGTGTTCCTTGAAATGTGTTTGGAGACGCCATCAAAATAAACTAAATAGCTTTGATTAAAAAAAATTTTTTATTATTCTGGACTCAAAAATCAGTCTGGGTGAATATGTACCTATGTATTTGGACTCCATTACTTTAGCTCCTAAGCAATACCTCAGAAAAGCTACAAGAATTGGTCCATGTGAAGAATGTTTTAGCATTAAGACAATAGTAATCATTTAAATGATCCACGTAGTAAATTGCTCTTGAGCACAACATACTAGGGACAAGTTTCTCTTGATGAGCTGATATGCTCATTTGATTTAATAATAGCTTACATAGCAAGTTAACCTTCATACTCGTTTCTATATTTCCATTACTGGAAATATCCTCAAATTCTTTTTGGAGGCAGTCAAGATATAAATGGTAAATAGCATTCAAAATCTTACCCTCCTTTTCCTAGCATTCATCTTTTGCTTTGATTCTTTGACAAAGGCATTATAGGACGGGACCTCTCCAGCATCAATGGCTTGCTGGATAATGTTCCTTATCCTGGGTTCCTCTGTGAACTGCACACACAGCACGGACTCCATGATCTGATCCATGTCCCCTTTGAAGTCCACATAGGCCTGTTTAATATCTGCCAACTCTTCTTCTGAACCTTTGTATGTCTTTTCAAAAGCTTGAATGTCTTCTAGAGATATCTAAACAAATAAGGAACACATGCTTTACCTTTGAGAATATTACTTGAAAATTAGATTTAAATGTTAAAATACTGCTCCCCAAATACAAGTTGCTGAGTTAAAATTGTTGCAAGGAACCAAATTTTCTATGCCAACTCTTTTCCAGAGTTCTCCGCAGTCCAACCTTCAGAACTAATAAATTATGGGTCAAGAAAATTTAAGTAATGTTTCCAGTGGTACGAAGAGACCCAGAGAAACACTCAGGACTTACATTTGGATATGTAAAGCACATCTTGTAAAAAATTAAGTTTCCCCCTTTTTCACTACAATCACTCCACAGCCACATCAATTAAAGACCCATTTCGACAGGTAATTAAAGACCCGTTTCAGTAAGAGCATGTATATATACATACACACACGTACATATGGTTCAACCTAAATGGTTCAGTACATTTGTTTTTCTTCAAATACATACAGTATACGTCATATACCTCCTGAGGAATGCCTCTGTGTGTGTTTGTGTATTTCAAGACCAAATTCCCCTTCCTGCACAACACAAAATGCAATGCCTCAGAGGCATTAAATAAATATTGTTGAATAAATAACGGGAATCATCGCAAAAACAGTCTCCGGAGTCTTCTACCTTTTTAAAGAGTAACCTCCAATACGTCTCCCAGTCCCGATCTTGGTTGAGCACATCAGAATCCTCGTCCACTGTTCCCTGTTCATCGTACACTGCTCTCTGCTCTTTGTCACTCAGAACGGAATAGACTTTCCCGAGGATCTGCGGGGGAAGAGCATCCAAAAGTCACCCCCGCCGCTCTCACGGAAACCGTGCCGGGAGAAACAGGCTAGAACACCGTAGGCCGGGTTGTGGACAATCCACCCGGACGGGGCCAATCAGCAGGAAAACGACTGACAGCCCGGGCGGCTGGTGGAGCTGGGACTCACGTACCTGGAAGCGGCGAGTGGCGTCCTCTTTGTCGTCCTCACCCACCCGGTCAGGGTGCACTTGCAGGGACACCTTGTGGTAGCCGCGTCGGACCTCGCCGTCCGAAGCCTCGCGTCTCACGCCCAGCACTCGGTAAAGGTCGGCGGTGCCGAACACTTCCTCACACAGCTCCAGCAACCCCATGGCCCGCAGATGTGTGGAGCCCGCTGCAGCCTGCTCGAAAGGTGGGTCCCAGCAAGGCAGGCTAGAGCTCCGGCCTGCTTTCTTTTCCCGCGCAAAAAGCCCAGGGCGCCAGCGTCACAAGGCGCGCAAAAGGGGCGTGGCCACCCTGCCGCACAGTACGGCGGCCGCAAATTGGGACTGGGAAACACCGCCGTCGACTTATCAGGTGAAGTCCAGCAGGCGCCCCAGATTTCTACGCTTGGGGGAGCCATCTTACTTGGAGGAAGCGGAAGTAGTCCAACGGAGGCCACGCCCCCCTCCGAGGCACTCGAAATCTGGCGCCAATCTTTTCCCCAAAGTGCCAGTGTAGAGTATCTTTTAATACATGGAATGTCCAAATTAGGTTGGACCTATACATTGTTTTCTTTTTTTAAAGCAACAAAAACAGCATAACATCGGCATTGGATAATTTCGCGTAGTTCAAATAATGTGTTTTTTCAAAGAACGATGGTTAAATAAATTTATTTTTCAAAGATGTTCCTGACAAGAGTACATAGAGCTCTAAAGCCCAAATAATTTTGCAACCTACAGGGTGGGACTGCAGGGTAGGTACTCCCTTTGAGCCCTGCAAGAAAAAAGTCTACATTAAACACAAAGCACAAAATACAGGTCTTTTAAAAATTATCTGATAAAACTCAGATTTGACACTACAGAATTATTCCTATTCATTCTCCAGCTCCTGAATCACCTTCCACTTTGGTGGAGATAACATGACTCAAATCCTCATCTTAATAAAAGCTGCTGAAGTGAGGGCTTTTTTTCCTTTTTAATGCTTCTTAAAGTGCAGAGCCGAATTTTGAGCGTATTAAGTTTGAAGGTGGTAGCTGATGCAATCATCTAAGACATGGTAAGGAATATGGGCCTGGAGATTCAAGGCAAGGCCTGGGCTAGAAAGAACTAGAAGTCAGGGAGAGGATGAGCTCACACAGGAAATTTGTGTGTACAGATCTTAGGCAAAAGACAGACATGGGCTCAAAGCAGGTACGTGAGTTGGCAGAAACTCTACCTCAAAAAAATACCTCACCTTAACCTACTTCACAGCAGTTCCCCTCACTGACCAATACTTTTTAAAATCACATCTTCTTTTGCTCTATCAATTAAAGCTTCTCCCATCAAACTCTCCAGGTTACCTTTTAAACTTCCAGAGTTCCTATCATTTTGAAGGCATTTCTCTTCCCTCATCCAAGGTAAAGTCGGTCTCACTCTGTTTGTCCTGCCTTCCAAGTCTGCTATCTTCAAAGCAATTGGAGGCCCACCAGCAACAATCTTGGGGAATCCTGACCCCACAATTTAAGGTGGCTGTTAATTGTTCTCAGAATATAAAATCCAGAGAATAAGTTGGTACATTGTTAGGGCTTTAAATTCTCCTTTATAAATCTCCTATATCCTAGTCTTATGCCAGAATTTGAAATCTGTATTATCCAACAGGCGCACAAAAACCATCAAATCTATGCTTGTGGTTGTAGAATCCTAAGGTTAGGGTGGAGCAGAAAATGTAGTATTTTGGGTTTTTGCCACAGCCAGTCATTTATATTACCAAACTACAAGTTTGGTAGTACCTACACCCCATTCTATCACTGACTTTTTAAGTGTACATTTGAAACGCCCCTAATTGTTACTTACTCCTCCAGCCATCACACTACAAACAATACATATTGCAAAGGGCTCTGCAAGTAGGCACGCTGGGGTCTGAATCTTAGCTCTGCCAATATTAAACTGTGGCCTTGGGCAAGTTACCACCTCTGAACTTCAGCTTACCCACCTACAAAATGGAGATAATCCTTTCTGACTTTTGTAATACCTTATAAATCTCACAAATAACCTTGCAATGTAAAGGGTTATTCTAATGTATGTAGGCATTTTATAACATTAGCTTTTTCCGGTTTCTCATTATTAAAAGATTGACTAAAAGCTCATAATAAATATACCTTTGTAAATTTGAAATTGTGTTAAGAAAATACAAATCTGTGATTACAAAACCAATAAGCAAAGTGACTGTATTTTTTTAAATTCCTCACCCGAGGGTATTTTTTCATTGCTTTTAGAAAAGAGAGGGAGGGAGGCAGAGAGAGAAACATCAATCAGTTGCCTTCTCCTATGTGCCCCGACCAGAGATTGAACCCACAACTGGGACTATGCCCCAACCAAGAATCAAACCAGCAGCCTTTCAGTCTGAGACGAGGCTCCAACCCGTTAAGCCACATGGGCCAGGGCAGTAACTGTGTTCTTAAACTGGTGGGATAACCATAAATTATTAAGGTAGGAATTACTTGAACTGGCCATGGATATGCTGGTTAAGGACTTTGAAACAGGGAAGTTTTGGAAGTCAGCAGACTGTAAAGCTATCTAAGGGACCCAGGGCCCAAACCTACCCCACAGCCAATGTGTTTCCCTAGATAAAGGCTGAGAAAGCTAATAATTAGCACCTAGACTCAGCTCTGTGTCACACAAGAACAAATCTCTTCCTGGGCTTTATTCAGGCCAGGCTAGAAGAACATGGATGACAAAGAAAATTCCATTTATTGACCTCTACATCTAATAAAACTAAGAACTCTGCACAAGTGTTTTAAGAGGACTTTGACCTTGTTCTCGCTGCTCTGCTCACTGGAGTCAGCTCACTTTTGTTTCTGCAGCTTCTGTATCTGTTTTCTGAGATGCTAAGAGGATTTCACGTGCCCGTTTCCGTCGAAGCCTCTCAGCATTTGTGATGGTCATGGGATGCAGAGGGAAAAAACCAGAAAGACCTACAAGCAACGAGATTTTCATGTTATAACATAGTATAAGCCAATATTTCCCTGGGAACTTGGCCTCACAGACTGAGGTCTAATAAAAGACCTGACCTAGAGCATGGATTTAAAACAAACTCAACAATCTGTCTTATCTCTTCCCCCAACTCCTTACTGCAAGGAGACAAGAGATGCTGTCGACTTCCTAACACTATTTTCCTTACCAGAAAAAAGACAAACTGACAGCCATTCAAGACACACTGTTCCCATTTTTAACATCCCAGTTACCCAAAAAGTCTCATAAAGGAGTCCCCAAAAGGTCTCTAGATTCAAAATGCAATTAGATTGCAAGTATACCTCTCACTCCAGCCCTGAGCAGCCTACAGGTAATGAAAATAATTTTTAATTCTCACCATCCTATAATTAACTTTAATTTTAAATCCCTCGGTAAGGCCAGTTACCCAAAAGCTTTTCCACAGGTTTAGAGAGGTGGGCCCCACAGCCGATCCAATGCCGGATCCGGTCCAGGTTGAGAGCGACGAGTTTCTCTCCATGACTGTTGGGCAGTGGATCATAGGAGCCTAGCTGCTCCACGAAACGGCCATCCCTGGGACACTTGTTGTGAGCAGCCACAATGCGGTAGAAAGGCCGGTTAGTACAGCCACCCAGAGCAAGACGGATGGTTAAGTGGCCTCCATGGTAGGCCTTGCAGAGGAAAGTAGCTGCAGAAAAATAAGTAGTTAAGAAACAAAGGCACAAAAATAGGTAAAATGAGGTAGATGAAACATTCCCTTTCCTGCAGTGGAAATCCTTATTACTAACCAATTCTTTGAAATCTGGCTTAGAAACCATATCCTTGTGAAAACCCTTCTAATACAGGCCCCCCATAAATGGACTTCCTCCTCAACCCTTAATTCACTCGGCGCAGGCCTGTCATTTACTAGTTCTGTGACCACATAGGGGACGCAGGTGACATCGGTAAAATGAACGCCTCTCATGTCGCAGGATTTCAGGGGGAATTAGGTGAGAAGAAAATGAGGAGTATGACCAAACAGACGGCTGTTTCAGGTTCGGGATGCTTCCAGCTCGCCTAGGTCAACGCAGCTCCACCCGGTACTCCACGCCCCCGGGAACCCCCCCGGACGGTCTCTCGGGTCCCTGGCACTCACTAAGCTGGACCATGGTGCAGCCGCCCTGCGCCGAGGACCGTGCGCCACTAGCGGCTCCTCGAAGCGTCCCGCCGCCCACAACGATCAGCTCTACCGCCTCCGACAGACGTGCCAAGTCAACGCTGCGAAACTCCGGGGTCAAGGTGCCTAGATCCAAGCCCTAGTGCCTCTCCGGAAGCGAAAGGGCCTCTCGCCCAGCCCTTTCCGCTGTCCGCTCCTACATTCCCCATAATGCAACACGGTGAACTCGAAAGTACGTCACTTAAACTGCCGCAAAAACAAACAAACAAATAAACAAACAAATGAAAGGCGCGCTACAGTTTGCTAATAGCGGGCGTAGCAGCGTAATTCTCACCTTGTGGGCGCTCCCGGCCGGTGCTGATCTGGGAGTGTCGGTGGAGTGAGGAATATTTGGGGCATGCTCGGAGCGACTAAGAGAAGTGCTACCAATCCTTCCAGCAAACGTTTTTGAGCACCTGTTAGCGCCAAGGTGCAGTTCCTGAAACGCAAAGAGAGAAGGACGCCGTCCCTGCCTACAGGAAGTTCACAGTCTGGTGGGGAAACGGGGAGGTACACTAAAAACTAGAAAAAGGACTATAAATGAATGTAGAATTTATCTTTCAGTGTTTACTAATATGGCTCTTACCTTCCCTTCTATTCTCTCCACCGTCTCTGAAAAATAAAGCACGGGGAACCTTTTTCCCTGGTTTTGCTGGGCAGTGATCCAGGAGAACAGGCGTGAAGATGGTTCCTTTGTCATCTTTAGCCATGAATAATGACCTCAATTTGAGTTTTGTATCCATGAGAGGGTAATAGACTCATTATGGAGCCCTTGTGAACCTCTCTATTTAGCATTTCTAAACGGCCTGGTCCCAGCTAATATGCTCTTTGCCCTAATACTTTTACCCAGCATAGCTTTCTTCCTTTAGTTCCACCTTAGAAAATGATGCCTTTATTCCCAAGTTCCAGTAAGTTAACCTGGCCAGGGACCTCAGCAGTTGACTTCCTCCAGGAGTAATCCTGATTGGCTTTCACCAGAAACCCCAATAATGAACCCACTATAACTATATATATTCTTATATATACCTCAGTATAACAACTCCAGAACCACACTGATGACTTTTGAATCTCCAATTTCCATTCTTTATTGTCATTCATTTTGCTGTCAATCAGTAAAAACAACCAGTAACATTTGATACCAAGTAAGATAGCCAATGGAAATAAATGAATGGGTTTCTGTTTATGGTGAAGATTCTTTGTTCTCTATCTCCAGGTCTTACGTGGTGGAGCATCCAGGATTTAATTTCTCAGGGAAGGAAAAGACCTCAGAATCCATAGAGAAAATTCTTCATCTAAAAGGAAGTCAAAAGGATGGATTTCCAAAACCAAATGTCTCCTGTAGCATGTGGATCTCTGCAAGCAGAGTCTCATCTTTCAATTTTAGCTGCAATAAAGGAAGGGAGGGGACATATGTCATATTTGATACACCTATGTGGAGACCCCTCATTTCTGGAGCCACAGCTAAAGAACACAGTTCCTTGGGATGTAACTGGCTATATTCTCTATTTCATGGTAACTCCATTAAAATACCTCAGAACATTGTGCTGGTTATATGGATATTTTTACTTTATGAAAATTCATCAAGTGGTATGGACAGTCACTGTGTATACTTTTAAAAAATAACTTCAATAAAGTTTATTTTTAAAAGACTCACATCGTGCAATATATCTTGACTATTGTATATTATTACCATTTGGCAGGTTACAGGAATCAAAGATGTTAGATATAGATTTAATTTTAGAATCGAGATGTGTAGTAGTGACATCTAGTTGCTTACTGAATATTCACTATCTCCTTTCTTTACTAAAAAAAGGGGGGTGGTTCCTTTCTTTTCGGGGCAGCAATGCAGCCAGCTAAAAAGCCACATGTCCTGCATCCCTTGCAAGGGAAGTATTACGACCAACGTGGTCAATGAAATACAAGTTGAAGTCATTGCTCTTCAGAGGGAGGTGAAATAACTAGAATGACCACTTTGTCCTTTCCCCCTATTTGTTCTTTATTGTGCCTGAAACAGATAAAGTGGCTGGAGCTGCAATGGCTGTCTTTCAACTCTAAGGGATGGAAACTATATGCTGTGGTTGCTGGAGCAGAAAGGTAGAAAGAGGTTGGGTTTCTGATGGCATTGTGGACCTCTGGTACCAGTCCTGGACTCTTCATTAGATGAGGAGAAAATAAAACTCCAAATTTGTTTAAGCCACATACTTTCAAGTCAAATTACTTACAATATACAGCTAAAAGAATAGCCCAGGGTTTGCCGAACCACTGCTCATGAGCCAGATCTAGTGTACTGCCTGTTTTTGTAAGTAGTTTTATTTTAAACACATCCCCATTCATTTGTCTATGAATTGTCTATGTCTGCTTTTTCACAAGTCAGAGTGTAGTAGTTGCAATAGAGACCACCAAAGCCTAAAATATTTCCTACTTGGCCATTTACAGGACAAATTTGTTCAGCCCTAGACTAGTCCAACACCTTCATTTTACACATGAGGAAAATAAGGCCCAGAGAGGTTAACACGGTATGTTAATGACAAAGCTAAGATCATAATTCAGGTCAACTGATACCCAAGCCACCTGTCTTTCCATTAAACCATGTTCTCTAAAGAAGTATAAAGAAAAATCCCCTATGGTACTATGTGGGTTATTGTTCCAAACCCAGGAGCCATATGATAATGGAGAAGATGGTAAGAAAAGTCCCTAGCAAAATATTCACATCATGAAATGCCATAAAGTTCTAAATTAAGCCAGTCCCTTCCTCCCAGTTTTCCAACCTCAGTACAGTGCAAACAGCAGAGGTGTCTGCATCATACCTTCATTGTATACTTGTATGCTTGCTCAGCTTCCAGTTGTCGTCCCGCCTGAAAAAAGAAGAGCAGCAGCTGGTGATGGTGATATATCATAAACATTATGTGGTAAAGTACATTGCCAACAAAACATCTCTACCTAAAGCAGAGGGTTTCCTACCTTCTTAGTGAAGGGCCTGTGAATTCAAAGCTGAAGCAGGAAAATGATACATATGCCTTCTTCATTTCAAAAGGCTTAAAAATAACTTGGCTTATCTCCTTTTTTTCTTTTTCCTGAAAGCACCATGGGTCATTTATTCTGCTCAGGATTGAAGCTGTTGTATTAATAATAACTAGCACTCACATAGTGCTTACTTTGTGGTTTAACTTGTTAACATCGTTTTAAGTGCTTTACCTACATTCATTTGATCCTAAAAACAACCCTAGAAGATAATTATAATTCTCAGTTTACAGATAGAAAAATCTAGGCACAGAGAAGATAACTTTCAGGGATTATGAAGCTAGTAAGTGGAGGAGCTAGATTTTAAAATAATGCAGTCTTGCACCATAGTCTAAGTTTTGAACTTTATTCTGCCTCTATGCATTAGAAAAAGTAGATGCTGAAACTACTTCCATGCAGATCTGAACATGAGATGAGAACTCTGCTCCCAGTTATTCTTTCATGAAGGAGTTAAGTGAGAATAATATGAATTCACTATTATACTTCACAAGTCTGTGCATAACAAATTAGACTATGCCAGGTCACTTGGGAAAGCTTCAATACATAAATATGAGATCCATAGAATGTGCAGGCTAGAAGAGAACTTACAGAATATCTAGACCGATTTCCTGATTAGTGCTAGGCCATGGTAAATTTTCACTACTTCACAAAACTTTTATTGCCTAAAAGACTTTTCTATAGCTACACTTCGAAGTTTTCCTGATTTCATGGGCCATTTCTAGTACACCTTTCTTTTCCTATCACGTACCTTTGTTATATTTCTGCCATAGGGAGGCAGAGGCCCAAATGACATGAGTATCCAGAACAACCAAAATCATTTTGAAAAAGAATGACAATTATTTTTTGCGTAATAGGAAAATGCTGCAGTAAATAGCCTTATATATGTCTTCCGGCATTTTTGTTAACAATGTACGTAAATATAAAATTGCTAAATTGTAGATATGCCGATGACTGCATAATGCCATATTGCACTTTGGTTATACCAGTTTACATCTACCAGCAAGTATGAGAATCCTTATCAATGTTGTTCAATATCAGACTAATTTTTGCCCACCTGATGGTGAATTTCTGTCACATCATTATTTTAAATTGCATTTTCATGATTACTAATGAGGCAGAATTTTTCGTATATTTATTGACTTTTACAATTAACTCTTTAGCAAATTGTATATTTCTATCCTGTGACCACTTTTCTTTTTTTAGGTGGGGGTCTGGAAAGAAATCTTGGTCTTCCCCCCCTTTTATTGAATTTATTGGGGTGACACTGGTTAACAAAATTATACAGGTGTCAGGGGCACAGTTCCACAACACATCATCTGTACACTGTGTTGTGTGTTCACCACCCCAAGTCAAATCTCCTTCCACAACCATTTATCCCCGTAATACCCTTCTCTATCCCCCTCCCCCACTTCACCCCACCCCCTGGCAATCCCCACACTGTTGTCCATGTCCATGAGTTTTCTCTTTTTTCAAAATTTTTTCTTAATCCCACTACCCAACCTCCCCAACCCTACCCACACAAACAGCTGTCAGCCTGCTATTTAAGGGCCTGTCTCTATTTTGCTTATTAGTTCATTATATTCATTAGATTCTCCATATGGGTGCAATCATATGGTACTTGTCTTTCTCTGACTGGCATATTTCACTTGTCATAATGCTCTCCAGGTCCATCCATGCTGTCACAAAGCATAAGATTTCTCTCTCTTTCTTTCTTTCTTTCTTTCTTTCTTTCTTTCTCTCTCTCTCTCTTTCTTTCTTTCTTTCTTTCTTTCTTTCTTTCTTTCTTTCTTTCTTTCTTTCTTTCTTTCTTTCTTTCTTTCTTTCTTTCTTTCTTTCTTTCTTTCTTTCTTTCTTTCTTTTCTTTCTTTCTTTCTTTCTTTCTCTCTCTCTTTCTTTCCTTCCTTCCTTCCTTCCTTCCTTTCTTCCTTCCCTCCCTCCCTCCCTCCCTCCCTCCCTCCCTCCCTCCCTTCCTTCCTTCCTTTCTTTCTTTTCTTTTTTAATATGGCCAAGTAGTATTCCATTGTGTAAATGTACCACAGCTTTTTTTGTCTACTCATCTAGATGGGTCCTGTGACCATTTTTCAATCAGATTATTTGTAGGGTTTTTTTCTTATTGTAGTAGCTATTTATATGACCTGGATATTAATCCTTTCTTAGTTATAAATGCTGCAGATATTTATAACAAAGTCCTTATGCTTTATTTCAGTATCTTTTGTTATACATGAATTTCCAATTTTAAAGTTGTTAATTTATTGATATTTTATTTTTGCTTTGTGTTTTTATAGTCATAAGAAACCTGTGCACCATGAGGACCTTGAGGTATTCTCTATATTTTCTTCTAAACAGTCCAAAGTTTTATGACTTAGGTCTTCAAACCAGCTGGAATCTGTGTGTATGTGTCATGAGATAAAGAACTAATTTTTTTCACACAGATAGTTACTCCACCACTATTTATTAAATAGTCATATGTTATTCATGTGGAGGGGACTATATAGTCTTTTAAAAGTAACTTTATTGAGATATAATTTACATACAAATTCACTAATTTTAAGGTTCAGTACACAACCATCATCACAATCCAGTTATAGAAGTTTTTATTAGTCAAAAAAAGTTTCTTTATGTCTGTCTGCAGTCAGTTTCCATTCCAATGGCTCTAGGGAACCATTGATCTACTTTTGTCTCTATAGTTTCCCTAATTTTCAAGTAAATGGAGCCATATAATCTATAATCTTCTGTGCTTTGCTTCTTTGACTTAGCACAGTGTTTTTGAGGCTCATCCATATTGTTGCGTGAACCAAATTTTCATTTTTATTGCAGAGTAGTACTCCATTCTGTAAACATTCCAGATTTTCTTTATCCGTTTCCTGATGGACATTTGGATATTTTATAGTCTTTGGCTACTATTAAGTGCTGCAATGAAATAGAGAAATGTTCATGTGGACATACGTTTTCACATTTCTTGACTAGTACCAAGAATTGAAATTGCTGGACTATATGGCAAGTATATCTTTAACTTTTTAAGAATCTGCAAAACTGTTTTCCAAAGTGGTGGTACTAGTTTGCAACACCACCAGCAATGTGCAAGGGTTTTAATTTCTTCATATCCTTGTCAACACTTGGTGTTGTTGGTCTTTTTGATTTCAACCATTCTGGTGGGTATGTAGTGCGGTGTTAATTTGCATCATCTTAAGAAATTATCTTTCTTTCAAAAATTTTGACATGATTCCAGATTAAAGAAAAGTTACAAGAATAGTTCTCTCTGTACATGTGCATGCACACACATGTATCTATTTTAACCACTTCAGAATAAATTGTAGACTTGATGCAATTTTAGACTTCAGTATGTGTTTCTAAAATCAAGGACATTCTCTTACATAATGATAGTACAATGATCAAAATCAGGAGGTTAGCATAAATACAATACTACCATCTAATTCAGCAATTTTCAGTCAGTGTGTTGCACAAATTTTTAAAACATGCAATTCCTGACTATTTAGTCAGGGGCACTGACCTCTTTTCCAGTAGACTGACAAATTTTTAAAATGACAACAGCCAACACAACAATAGCTATACAGTATGAATGAATCAAAAGTATACGTATTTTTGTAAGATCTGCAAAAAATATATTTTTGGTGTGCTGCAGAATTTTAGTAATTAGTCTAGGTGTGCCATGAGATAAAAAAGCTGAGAACTGCTGATACAATCTAGAGGCCTCACTCAGATTTTCTCTAATACCCCACTATTTCCTATGACAACAACAAAAAATCCAGGGTCATGCCTTGCATTCAATATTCATGTCTTCAGTTTCTTTTAATCTGGAAGAGTTTTTGAGCCTTTGTGTTTCACTACATTGGCACTTGTGAAAACCAGAGGAGAGTTATTTTGTAAAATAGTGGACAATTGTTTTTCCTTTTTAATATATTTTATTGATTATGCCATTACAGTTGTCCCATTCACCTCCATTCCCCTCCACCCTGCACCCCCACGCTCCCCACCATCCCCTCCTTTAGTTTATGACCACGTGTCTCAAGTTCTTTAGATTCTATATTTCCCATACTATTCTTGCCCCCCCATCTATTTTCTACCTACCGTCTATGCTACTTATTCTCTGTACCTTCTCCCCCTTCTCCTCCTCCCACTCCCCTGTTGCTAACCCTCCATGTGATCTCCATTTCTATGGTTCTGACCTGATCTAGCTGTCCTCTTAGTTTGCTTTTGTTTTAGGTGTGGTTGTTAATGACTGTAAGCTGTCCTTTCAATGTTCATCTTTTTTATCTCCTTTTTCTTAGATAAGTCCCTTTAACATTTCATATAACAAGGGCTTGGTGATGATGAACTCCTTGAATTTTACCTTATCTGAGAAGCACTTTATCTGCTCTTCCATTCTAAATGAAACCTTTGCTGGATAGAGCAATCTTGGATGTAGGTCTTTGGATTTCATGACTTGGAATACTTCTTTCCAGCCCCTTCTTGCCTGGAAGGTCTCTTTTGACAAATCAGCTGACAGTCTGATGGGAACTCCTTTGTAGGTGACTGTCCCCTTAACTCTTGCTGCTTCTAGGGTTCTCACCTTCATTTTAAACTTGGCTAATGTAATTATGATGTGCCTTGGTGTGTTCCTTCTTGGGTCCACCTTCTTTGGGACTCTCTGAGCTTCCTGGATTTCCTGGAAGTCTATTTCCTTTGCCAGATTGGGGAAATTCTCCTTTATTATTTGTTCATGTAAGTTGTCCACTTGTTGCTCTTCCTCTTCCCCTTCTGGTACTCCTATAATTCAGATGTTGGAATGTTTAAAGATGTCCTGAAGGTTCCTAAACCTCTCCTCATTTTTTTG